TTCATTTATCATGTGGACCCAGCTTTAATCATCGTTATTCATGATATTTGGACATCTCGCCTCTGATTGGCGAGTCTCTACTGCAGCGCAACTCTACCGCTGATCCCATTCATTTTAAAACAACGATGTGTTATCTCCACAAATAACACAAGCCTGAAGGTATTCTACCATGTTGTGGGGTTGCTAATGCTAACTGTTAGCTCCTACTACCCAAGACGCGCTCTGCTCTCTCCTGGACGCTAAACCAACAACAACCTTCCTCGTCGCGAGGCGAGTCCAAGAATGCAAATTTACTGTGTGGCTTTTTCTGACTCGAGTGTTTCCCCATCTATTCTCTATTGGAGGCTAAAGCAGGAAATATGGGTAGGAGGCCATTTTCACATTCCGCCTGCAAATGAAACTCAGAGTGAGCGATGAAATTAAAATAAAAAAACATGTAAAAGACAGTTTCTCAGTGAACTTGCTTTTTCATGTCAACAGCACTCCTTACAGAGACACATTGCATGTCAACATGACTTTTTTATAGCCAGGCCTAAGTGTAAGCATTTACCTCTTCTCTATTCAGCTCTTCTAATGACCTGTACTCAACTGCTACTTTTCTGAAGAGTCCATCCCCTGCAGGCTCACAGTCATCAGCTGACTATCCTGTAACATAGGACAGAGTCCAGCAACAGATTACCTCCTCCTCTTGTCATTAGCAAAGTGGGCATCAATCTTGCACGTTACAGTAGGCTTCATTCTCTGGCTTCTGAATGGACCTGTCTACTGTGTTAACAGCTAATTGGCTCTGGCGCCAACGTGGCTTTCAAGGTAGTCATTTAGGTGCATTACAGGCAGAGGCTCTGAGGGCTTCCCAGGCCTCACAGAGGAGAGGTGGGGTGGCTGACACCACTCAGGTAATTTGGATCTAAGTCAAAACAATGTGATTAAGCTCAAGTGGGCTTGAGTCAGCCGTTTACAATGTGTCCTACTGGTCTGACAAGTTCCTCTCCCTGATATGTTTTCATACAGCGTCGCATGCAGATAAAGGATGCACGGCAGAGCAATAATTATAAATGTCAGAGAAATTGATAAAGATTTATTTACATGTGTTTGGGCTAAGTTTTATGGTCTTTTCCTCATGAGAATGTTTCCACATTAAAACGTATTTAAAGGAGCTTGTTGAGTGTTTGTTTTGCATGTAAATAAATGTGGGACTTCAGCCTGGCTGCACTGCACTTAACACACGTTTGCTGTTTAGAGATAGTGTTGCCATAAAGGTTGAGAAAGAGAAAAAAGCTTAAAAAGTTCTTTAGATTTCATTATTATTATTATTATTATTTTTGCAGCCTTGGTGGCCTATAGTGGTAGAGTGCCTGCCCTGAAAATGGGAGATGGGGGTTCAAATCCACAGTGGGGTGATAACAATGACTTTAAAAATGAGACCCTATGCCTCCCTGCTTGACACTCAGCATTAAGTAGTTGGACTGGCGCGTTAATTTCACCAGTGTGTGATGCCTAATGGGACTTTAACTTTATAATTACTGAAATGTGAAACCACAAGAACAAATGTAATCATATCAGACTAAATCTGTTTTAATGTTTGACTTTTATTTTAATCAGCTTCCCAATGAAACATTTTCGATTCGCCCTTCCAAGTAACGTGCAGGATCACATGCATTTATGATGTCTGACAAAAATAAAGGTCTGCGATCACGTTCCGCTTCTGAGCATCTTACTTTTCTTTTTTTTTTCTTGGCTTTGCATCAACAAAGATAACAAAATTTGCAAGTGAGCTGCCATGAATGAGTGTTTTTAATGGGAATTTAAGTGCGGCCCAGCCTGCTGATTATCCCTGCCAAACATTCCACCACTTCAAAGCTGCTGCTGTAATTACAATGCCGTGAGGTGTGCCCAACCCACACCACCAGAGGCTTCTCCAGGCTCTCTGATACACACAAATGCACATAAATTGGACAGACTTCCACATGTACATGCACAAACATGCTCAGACAAATTGCTTTTGCTATTATCAAGCTTAAATTATATTGTGGAAAGAAGGAAGTGGGATTTGTGGGTAATTTTGCTACACCCAGGAGGGCACCCCTCTTATTCAGATCCCCACCTTCTTCTTCCTTCCTTCCTTTCCTCCTTCCTCTATCTCTTTTGCAATATTCTATTTACAGACAGTTTGTGACATGAATGTAATGTTCCATGAAAAACAAACCCTTACAGTTTTGGTTAAGTGATATGAACACAAAGTTGTACGGAGTTTATACTTTTTTTTAACCCTTTCGGTTTTATTGTTATTTTTTTGGAATGCCTTTATTTATTTTTGTTGTTTTTAGGCATTATGTGCATTTTGATGCTATTGTTTTAGTGGCTTTTATGTCTTATGACATCCATTTTTTTAGTATGGTCTTATTTTTGTCTCTAATTTTAATGTATATGATCTATGATTTTATCATGTACTGCACTTTGGGCAGCCTTGGCTGGTGGCATCAAGGTGCTTTATAAATAAATAAAGGAAATTAAATGAGTTTTATCAGATAAAATGTAATTTACTTTAGCGAATTTAAGCAAAAGCTAAAGAAAACAGACCAGAAAAAAGAGATTTAGGAATAAATGAAGAGTAAATATGAAGGTGTTAAACATGCTGCAGGGTTAAAGTCAGGAAAAACGTGCCAAGATCCAGAAATGTGACTGACAAGGTACCTGCGGGGTTACAGGCAGAGCCAGAGTGAGCGGGGTGGAATGGGTGGAGGAGGAAGGAGGTGGGGATTCTGAAGAGAGCTGTAAAAAAAAAAAGCAACAGTTTCTCCCCTGAGGAGTCAGGCCTTTCATCTGGCCGCTCACTGGCGCCTCCACAAACCCTGATTGTCTGTGAAATAACCCGGCTTTAATAAGGCAGCATTGGCAGCCTCCTGGGAACCGAGTCCTGTTCCGCATAGCCGAGACACTCGGGTCTGCTGGCTTCACGTAAACACGCAGAAGAAACTTCAGCACGCTCTAAATAAATCTATCCTCAAGGGTGTTTAGTGGAAGACAAAAATAAAGCAACTTTCAGAAAAGATACCTCATTTACAGCTACTGATAAGGGATTACAACAGTTAAGATGAGCTCTAAAAATACTTCCTTCCTTCCAAAGCATGATTGAACACGCTTACAGTTCTGAAGTTTTCCATATAAAACATTAACAACCATTTGTGTTGTAATAAATCAGAAGTTACTCCATGTTTTCTGTGAGTAATGGATGTGATTAAATCGTAGGGCAAGGAGATGGATGAGTCAGCGACAGTCATGAAGGGACATGTGGGCCGCTAATGGAGTTATGTGTCCAGTCGCATCTCAGACACCAGCTGGACCCAGAAAAATAAGGAGAGAATCTGTAATTTGGTGAAGTGGTTTAGTCTTTAATTTTGGGTGAGAAGCCTCTTTCGATGCCTGCTGGATGAACAGCGCTGTAGGTTACAATGGAAAGTCCCAATCAAGAGAACAGTGAGTAGATCACAGAGAGAAAGATAAAGAATAAAGAGATCAGTGTTTCATCCTGGGTATAATTCTCTATAATTATCCGCATGGGGCCTGTGTTTACACACGCTGTCTCATGAGGTTAGAGTTAGAGCTAATCCATTACTGGAGCTTAACATGTGATAATACTGCCACATAGCCATAATTTTTACTGTCTATTTCCTCAAATCCACTCAATAAACCAACCAGACTTTGTGGTGATGAGTTGTGTCATCACTCTATCAAAAATGGCTTTGATTTAGCAAGAATAAAATTTAAGAATCCATCAAAATCTGCAACTTTTATTGTAGTTAGATCAATAATTCTAGATTGTGACTCCTGGCAGCTTATTTGTAACAGCATTTGCAAGGGAATTTCCAAACTGCCCAGAAAAGCTCGTAAAATCTGCAGCTAAGGGTGAAAAATGTGTGTTTATGCACGCTGTGGGTGTAAGGGGAGAGCGTTTTCATCCTAGGGCCCGCAGGCCACATGTTGAAGAATCTTTGAGCAAGATAGTAAACACAGAAAAGTCCCCCGAGCACTGTGGGTCTAATGCAGAGAAATAATTCCCCCAGGCTGGTCAATAAAGTATAAATTATTAAACCATAAATATAACACAAGTAATACTATTAAGCAAAATTAGATATAATATTAAATGTGTTGGTGTGCTAGTATACACATTCACACCGCTCAGCTATATTTAAAAACTGATGCAATGGTTTCACACATTCCAATTTAGTCTGATTCTACTTTAGATTTCACATATTTTGTTGCACTTTTATGTGTCCAAATGCCACAGCCCATTGAAATACAATATTAGAAAAGAAATGGAGAGGTTCTAGACCTACACTGGGGGAGGGGCAGCTGCCCAGTTGGGGAGGCACGATTGTAAGAAAATATTATAAAAATCAGTTTTAGGTCTTTCAAATTTTAGTGTATAAATACATCAACACAACAACAGCAATATAATTACAGTTGTTTTAATACTTTTGAAATACAATCTAAATGCAACCATTTTGCAAAAGATGCCTTCTGAGATCTTATAGGTCAGTGACATCATGAAAGCTTTTGTCGCAGCATCTCTTTTCAACTTCAGATAAATGAATTCACATGCTTTGTTTCTATATCTTGCATAGGTCAAATTATCACCAAAAAATCAAATGTATTAATGTTTAGTCTCTGCCCTGAGCAGGGGGGGGGGGGGGGGGGGGGCACGCAGGGAGGGGACCATGCTTATGGTGAGGGTGGCACAGGCCCACCTTTAGGACCTTCCCTGGAAAAGAATGGTTAAAATGAACCCTATTTGGATTAAGTTGATATTTTTAGATAATTTTCCCCTTAATGGGATTAGATTATTATTATTATCATTATTTTTCTTATGATTTTCAAAGTTGGAGGAGCTGAATAGACAGTGGAAAAGAAGTGTTTTCTGTTCTATGTAAAACAAAGCTTGAGTTTCCATCTGTCCATGAAGGCAGCACAAGAACTACATAAACACATTGGGCTGCTCTGATTGGCTGAGCCGTGACCACGTGCTGAGTCTACCTCCTTCACTCAGCCTGACAGCTCTGAGCGGATCACTCACCTGACCGAACTTTTCAGGCTGCAGTCCGGATCGAGCCCGCGCGTTTGCTCGAGGGACACCTGTCAGGAGGACAAACATGGCCTCCCGGGAGACTTTTAGGGACCTGGAATGCAGCTCGTCCGAGGAGGACAGTACCCGCGTGGACTTACCGGAGGCTCCGCCACCGGGCGAGGAGAAGAAACCCTCTGTCGTGGTTCGCCGGCATCACCCGTTCAGCGTGGAGGCGCTTATATCCGGGCGGAAGACCGGAGAGTCAGCGTCGCCCACCGGGTTAAATTCTTTGTATCTGCGCCGGGAGACGCGCAGTCCTCCCGAGGAGAGCCACAAGCACGGAGCTCCTTCTCCGGTAAAATCTGAGGCGTCCGAGTCAGAGGACTGCTCATCCTGGGCTGCTGCCAACGCTTTTTCCTCACAGCCACGTAAGTCTCACCTACTGATTATTTACCCACTAATATCCTCTCTTTAACGACTTTTCAGCCTCTGACAAGTCAGATGTGCTGCTTTCCTTTCCCCCCAGAACTTTATTATACAGAAATATCCCAATTTTAAAGGGAAAATTAAAAAAATAGGATAAATAATAGTCAAAATTTCTAAGAAAGCCTGAGTATATTTCCCAGGACTAATCATGTTTTTCTGACTGATAGAGATCAACCACTACTAATTTAGTCAGATTATGTGTTAATCCAATGAGTTTGTAAATCTCATTTTCTTTCTAAAACCCCGCCTCAGGTCATGTCACCTCTGCCTGTCAGCTGAGGAAACACAAGACCAACCGAAAACCCCGCACTCCCTTCACCACGTCCCAGCTCCTGGCCCTGGAGAGAAAGTTCAGGCAGAAGCAGTACCTGTCCATTGCCGAGCGGGCCGAGTTCTCGTCCTCCCTGACCTTGACAGAGACCCAGGTGAAGATCTGGTTCCAGAATCGTCGGGCAAAAGCCAAGAGGCTCCAGGAGGCCGAGCTGGAGAAACTCAAGATGGCCACTGACGCCAAAACAGCAGCTGTGGCGGCCACCGTTGCAGGAGGCCTACACCCGGGCTTTACGTTACCACTGTCTTTGGGCGCCATGTCACTGTACGGACAGTCGTACTCCACCTACCACCATCACCACAGACCCATTCTGCCCATATCCCCTCTAGGACTCTACGCCGCTCCTCTTGGCTACAGCATGTACCACTTATCATAAAACAGAGAAACGGTCATTTCATTTGCAGCATTCCCATAACTGGACGCAGAGGATGTGCGTTTGACATTTGTACAAGAACTCTCAGAGCACTTCAGATCAAACAACAAAAGAGCATCCTTTTCAGAGTTATCCATATGTGTGGAGGAGAGGTGCACTGTGCAGGTGTTTATCTTCTTCACTTGTTTACACCTGGAGCACCTGAGCAGGGCATGGATTCGCACAAAAACACACACTCAAGTGTCCTCTTAGGTCCCTTTTCTTGTGCCTTGTGTTTGAAAGTGGCCTTAATATGAGCAGGAAATGGAGTTTCAGCGACTCAGGCCTGATTAAAAACAAAAAAAAACATATCACTGAAACATTTTTAAAGAAATTCTAAAAGCTACCGCCTTTAAAAAGCATCACATTTATTTTTATGACAAGAGACTCAAGTTTTAACTTTTTATTCATAATTTATAGCAATAAAATGTCTTTTTACAGTGCATTTATAGCACATGGACATATTTATTCCCCAGGAAAATGCAATGATGGAAATGTGCGATTGCCTAATGTCATGTATTTATAATAGGTTATGAAAATATGGTACAGGATTGCTGACCAAATGTGCATTTACATGTTTTTTTTTGAACATCCATTTTAACCGGGGCTATTGTTCTATGCAGTTTAAATGTCCATATTTTCGAATATTGATGTTTTATCATCTGAAATTAAACATTTTTAAGTTGTTTTCTTACAAAGATGTTTTTTTAAGAATGTAAACAAAAAAACAGCAAAGATTTTTTTAAATATATTTTTCTTTAAGCGTTTGGAGTTCCACCGACTATCTGTGTGCCTGTGTGAATTCACGCGGTCTAATTGCACGTCTGTGTTCCCCATCAGACAGTGGTCAGTTCAAGGCGGTGTTTAACAATCCATAAATGATGTCCATAAATCATTCTGCTTCACAGCTAGTTCCCGTCAGCGCCGTCTGTCCCTCATTAAACCTGTTCCCTTTGTAGAACTGAAACAGATCGACATTAATTTTCTTTGAAATGCAACTCGTCAACTTTCTGTGTCATCTCTGCACAGATCACCAAAAGTTTGGCCTTTAACTTGCTTTAAACTTAATGTTACTGTTGAGTTAAGTGGGTTGCCAGTTTGTAACTAGCATTTAGGATTTGTTAAAGGTCTGGAACACTGGAAAAATAAACATTTTAAATTATATATGTTTATTTAAATTATATTTCTGATTCCAGTCAGTCTGAGTTCTTCATATACGATGAACACGAAAGTAGTCTCCTACACCTATCTCCTGCTGCTTTAGCTTCTGAGAGAAAACAAGACAGTGAAAGGCTAGAATTAGAAAATCCTCACAGATCTCTGTCATGCTGATATTTAACATTCATGGACTCATCCAGCTTGACTTACAATGTGGAAGCCTGTTGTTGGTTTAGCCTTCAGGAAACAGCAGAGAACGTCTTGGCTAGAAGATGCTAATGATAGCAATAGCTACTCAACAACGCGGCAGAACACCTCCAAGCGTGTTATTTGCGGAGATAAAACACCCACGTTACAAGTCAGTGGTAGAGTTGTGTTGCTGTTCTCCAATCCAAGGCAAGGTGTCCAAATATCAGGAAATAAGACTCCAAAACCCCCCGTCTGAAGCTCAGCTGTGATGTGGCTCACTTCTAGATCCTGGAAATGGTGCACCAGTGTCCCAACCCCCACAATACAGTCAAGTATAGCAATATTTCCTGTCATGGTGCTGAGTCTATGTTAAGCAGTGTATTTTTTTATTTTTTTAATTGAGAATTTCCTTTTGTGTGGTGCAATTCAAGTTCCGTCTACTAGGTGGCAGCAGTTTTTACCGCCTCCATTCTAATGGAACAACAAGATCTCTCGACAACGCTGGATGTGTGTTGGGAGGCCTGAGTTTACCGATTAAATTCAGTCTTAAAATTTTGAAATATTGCCTAGCTTTAAGTTATGTAACGTATTCTATCACTTCTGTTTTATCGTAAATATCGTATCACCAAAAATCTTGCCAGTACACACTAATAACTGCCTCTGCTGCTTATGTACCATATTGCTCAGGTTTTGCTAGTAGGACATGTGTTGATTACCTAAATCCCTGTGTATTTAGGATCAGATTACTAATTCATGACCTTGTTAGATTGGAGCAAACTCAGATCCTTCCGCATTAAATTCATTCTGCCTTAATTAGGCTTATAAAATAAAAACAACTTTGAATGAGCGAAGTTCTGCTAGGGTCTGAGTGTTTTCCAAGCCGCAGGATACGTTTTTAGGGGGTGCCAGCTTTGCTAAGAGTTTTAAAAGCAGCTTAAAAACTTCCGTGTGACTTTGATGTGACAAGGAAATCATTTATAGGCTGCAGCGCGTTTATGAGGTTCCTCTTTAATCAGAACAACACGCAGAAAGGCCAGCAGCCAAACACAGACGAGCAACGAGCCTAATGAAGTTCAGATTCTACAGGAGGGATGGTGAATTTCTGGTGAAACGTCACGCTTCTTGTGCAGCTTAGTAGGGGAGTAAGAGTAAGGAGTTGCCTTTAGCACTGGTTTGTTTTCATTGTTGGAGGATTCTGTCAGCAACTGGTCAAATTAGTGGTTATCAATTTCCCTCTGGGATTAATAAAGTATTTTTGAATTGAATTGAATTATACATGTTAAAGGAAACGTGACTGAAAGTCCTCTAACTTTTTTATGTTCTTGTCTCCTGCACCCTCTAGTGGCTGCTTTTTGCAAAGGGTTAGCCAATCCCCTTTACTAGTTTAAATTGTCCAGTTAAAGTCAAGCCAGATTCATTTATATGCTTATAGAAACACACCCCTCTCATAAATGAGTGCAACCACAGCTGCTGCTGTGAGAAAACAACCACACTCCAGATGAGATACAATCAAACATTTTGTTACGTTCCCCCCAGTCTAGGGTGTGGGGGAAGCAACATGACAGTCACAATAATGGAGGAGGCCGTTCTGCTAAAGAGCAAAAAAAGTTTATTTGCTGAAGATAATAAAAAACAAATGTGGGGGAAAAGTAGGGACCTGTGGGTTGACCAAATAAATGAAATAAATAAAACAAAACACACCCTAACTGAACTCTTAATCCTGAGAGAAAAAAAGAGAAAGAAAACCCTAACTTACTTATCTACAAAAATGGTGTTCTAAAACCAGTACAAGAGAGGTACTACCCACGCTTACCTAGTGTTTATAGACATCCAGATTCTACGTTCATCTCTACAATCCACAAAGTGGTTATTGCTTCTCAGCTCATCTCCCACCAAAACCAAAACAACCTTTTTAAACAGTTCCAGTCTGCTTTTTGCCCTCTACACTGCACAGAAACTGCTCTTGTGAAAATCACAAATGTTCTTCTCATGGCAGCTAACCCTGGCCTTCTCTCCCTACTCATCCTCCTTTCTAAGTGCAGCCATTGACACCTTCTCTCACTCAACCTTTCTAAACCGATTAGCTTCCCTTGGCATCACCCACACTCCTCTTGCCTGGTTCTCCTCCTATCTCCCCGGCCACTTACAGTCTGTCCAATTAAAATAATTTTCTTCTCGCTCCAGTTCTGTCTCTGCTGGTGTTACCCAGGGCTTTGTCCTTGGACCTCTCTTATTTATCATCTACATATTTCCGTTAGGCCATGTATTTCGCAAACACAAGATAAATTTACACTCCTATGCCGATGACACCCAGATCTATATCTCCTCCAAACCTGATGCAATCTTCCCTCAAGCTTCCCTTTCCAGCTGTCTCCTCAAGATAAAATCCTGGTTCTAATCAAACTTCCTGAAACTTAGCAATAAAACTGAAATTCTGCTCATAGGAAACCCTCCACTCTGAACAAATCTCCCAGCATAACAACTAACATAGATAATTCCTTCATCCTTCCTTCCCCCCACATAAAGAGTCTGGGTGTCATCCTTGACAGTACTCTGTCATTCAAAACCCACATCAACAACATAATTCGTTCAGCCTACTTTCATTTACGCTGCATTAATCGACTCTGCCACTCTTTCACTTATAACGCTAATAATAATAATAATAATAATAATAATAATAATAATAATAATAATAAAAAAAAAATAATAATAATAATAAAATAATAATAATAATAATTTCTACATATATTTTGCTGAAACAAGTCAAAGTGCTATAAAGGGTTTTAAATAAATCTTGCTTAAACCCTTATTGTGCATTATTGGATCTGTTTGCGTTTTAATGAATTTGTTATTATTATTTTTTTTTCTTTTTCCTCTTTTTTTCTCCTTTGCTCTCGTTGGGTATTAACATTTACTTGTCTACTTTGTGCCTCCTATTTTGTTGCATTAGATTGTTTTTTCTACAATGGGCAAGGGTCTAAATATAATTCCTCTTAATATCAGAAGCCTACCCCTGAAGGTTGGCTTACTGAAAACATGGCTCAGCTATAATAAGCCCAAAATAATTACTCTTTCTGAAACTTGGCTAAATAATGATATTCCTAACAATGCTGTCAATATTGATAACTTTAATCTATTTTGGACCGATAGAGGTGAAAGGGGAGGCGGTATTGCAACATATGTCTGCTCTAGCTTGAATTCCAAGGTCGTTGTTCCGATTGTGAAACCGCTACACTTTGAAGTTTTGTTTATTGAAATTACTTTTAATGTTAACAAGTCGCTCACAACTGAGGATATTTATAGGCCACCTTCATCACCTTAAAAGGAAAATTTGAAAAATATGATTGCCACGGTTTATTCTTTAGATAACACCAAAGAATTAATCTTGTTGGGAGATTTTAACCTAAATTGGCTTGATCATTCCACCCTTGCTGATCGCAACCTCCTGAACAGCTCCAACTTCACTCAACTGATTACTGCTCCTACTAGAGTTGTTTCTAATTGTTCCTCTCTCATTGATTGGATTCTGGTGACTCATCCAAATAGGATAGTTGATTCTGGAGTTCTAGATGACTGCTTTAGTGATCATTCTATTGTTTATTGTACACGGAAATTTTTCTTTCCCACATAAACCTCCCAAGATCATTAGGATACGTAATCTTCATGCTTTTAATGCTGAGATTTATCTGCATGAATTGCAGTTGATTAGCTGGGATAGGCTCTTATTAATACCTGATATTGATAATGCCTGGACATTTTTTTTACTTTGAGTTTTTTGCTGTGTTTGATAAACATGCTTCTTGGATTAGTGTGAAAGTCAGAGGTAATCATCTACCATGGATTAATAGTCATTTCTTAGCCCTTTTCAAACAGCGTGATAAAGCTTGGAAAATCGCTAAACTTACTAATAGTCATGTTGACTGGTGTGAATTTAAAATAACGGAGAAATTATTGTACCACTCAAACCAGGAATGCCAAAGCAGACTTCTACAGGAACAGCTTGAATGCTTGAATTCAATAACCCTAAGAACTTCTGGAGAACGTTAATAATTTACGTGGAAAAACTAATACTACAGTGTGTAATATGAGAGTTGAAAATGATCTTACAAATATTCCTGCCGAAACTGCAGAAGCATTTAGTCAGCATTTTGCCAACATTCCCCGTTTGCCTTCCTCATCTGCCATAAGTAACTGCCTCTTGCCCTATAGCTGTTCCAGTTCATTTTCTTTTTTTATTTTTATTTTTTCAATTTCTCCTAATGATGTTTCACAGATAAAAACACTTTCTTACTCTAAAGCTTCGGGACCAGATGGCACAGAGTCTAGGTTTATTAAATTAGCCTCTGATATTCTCGTTTATCCTCTTTCCATTATTTTTAATCTGTCATTTGCTACTTGCTTGATCCCAAAGGAATGGAAATGCACAAAGATTTTTCCATTATTTATGGGAGGTGACTCTTGTGAGCTAAATAATTATAGACCTATTTCAATAATCAATGTGGTAAAAAATTTTGAAAAACTGGTATTTAATCAGCTCTCTAATTATCTAGATGAAAACAACTTACTCTTCCTTCCAATCAGGATTTAGAAAACATTTCTTGACCGCCACTGCGCTGTGAAAATTTACTAATGGATTTGATTTGGATTTGACAACAGCTTGGCAATAGGTGCCATTTTTCTTGACCTGTCAAAGGCTTTTGATATGGTGGATCATAATCTGCTTTTGGATAAATTGTACTTGTTTGGTTTATCTAAGACAGCTCTACTTTGGTTTAATTCATTTTTTCACAATCACTCTCAAATTTTTGTCATTAA